CTTTTGAGCTCGGCGTGTCAGCATTTTGAAAAACCCTAACTTAACTCTGGTGCCGTGTCACATATAGAAATTTTTTGATATTTGCAACCATAGTAAAACAAAGACTTATATTTTTGATATTTATTTTATATATTTAAATGCCATTTAACAAAGAAAAATCAACCAAAAAAATGAGTCCGCGTGTCACCTCTGAAACGCGTGTCATAGGTTCACCATCACTGTCCTAGGGTTACCAGAAGGAGGGGAGAGAGAGAGAGAGAGATATCAAGGGATTAAGAACCTATGTGAAGAAATAATGATGGAACATTTCCTTAACCTGGTGAAAGAAAAAGACACACAAGTCCAGAAAGTACAGAGAATCCCCAAAAAGATGAATCCAAAGAGGCCCACACCAAGACACATCATAATTAAAATGCCAAAAGTTAAAGACAAAGAAAAAAAATCTTAAAAGCAGCAAGAGAAAGACAGATACTTACAAGGGAGCTCCCAGAAGACTGTCAGCTGATTTCTCAAAGAAACATTTCATGTCAGAAGGGACTGGCACAAAATATTCAGAGTGATAAAAAGCAAAGACTACTCTATCCAGCCAGGGTATCATTTATAATTGAAGAAATTAAGAGCTTCCCAGACAGGAAAAAACTGAAGGAGTTCATTACCACCATACCAGTAAATGTTAAAGGGATTTCTTTAAGAAGAAGAAAGAAAAAAGAGGAACATAATTACAAATAATAAAATGGCAATAAATATGTGCCTATCAATAATTACTTTAGATGTAAATGGATTAAATATCCCATTCGAAAGACACAGGGTAGCTAAATGGATAAGAAAACAAGACCCATATATATGCTATCTACGAGAGACCCATGTCAGAATACAAGACACGCACAGACTGAAAGTAAAGGGATGGAAAAAGATATTTAATGCAAATGGAAACAAAAAAATCTGGAATAGCAAAACTTATATCAGACAAAACAGACTTTAAAACAAAGGGTAAAAATGAGACAAAGAAGGCTATTACATAATGATAAAGGGATCCATCTAACAAGAGGATATAACCCTTGTAAACACTTACGCACCAAACATAGGAGCACCTACATATATAAAGCAAATACCGATGGACATAAAGGGAGAGACTGACAGTAATATAATTATAGTAGGGGATTTTAACACCACATTGACATCAGTAAATAGATCTTTCCAGACAAAATCAACAAGGAAAGAGGGACCTTAAATGACTCAGGAGACCATATGAATTTAATTGATATTTTCAGAGCCTTTCATCCCAAAGCAGAATATACATTCTTTTCAAGAGCATATGGAGCATTTTCCAGAATAGATATATACAAAACAAGTCTCAATAAATTTAAGAAGATTGAAATCATGTCAAGCATTTTCTTCAAACACAAGGGTATCAGAGTAGAAACCAATTACAAGGAAAAAACACCTTTAAAAACACACAAACATACTGAGGCTAAGTAACATGTTACTAAATAATGAATAGGTTAATAATGAGATCACGGAAGATTCGAAAGATACCTAAGACAAATGAAAATGAAAACACAACAACCCAAATCTATCAGACACAGAGAAAGCAGTCCTGAGAGGGAAATTCACTGCAATACAGGTGTACCTCAAGAAACAAGAAAAACCTAAAACAAATAATCTAACTTTAGAAAAAGAATAGCTCAAAATGAGTAGAAGGAAGGAAACAATAAAGATCATAGCAAAAATAAAATAGAGTCCAAAAATATCAATATGAAAGATCAATAAAACCAAGAGCTATTTCTTTGAAAAGATAAACAAGATTGATAAACCTTTAACCAGACTCAAGAAAAATAGAGAGGACCCAAATAAGTAAAATTAGAAATGAAAGAGAAGTAACAACTGACACCACAAAAATACAAAGTATTGTAAGAAAATACTATGAACAACTACATGCCAACAAACTGTACAATATGGAAGAAATGGATAAATTCATAGAAACATACAATTTCTCAAAACTGAATCAAGAAGAACAGAAAATTTGAACAGACCAATTACAACCAACAAAATCAAAGCAGGAATCAAAAATCTGCCAACAAACAAAAGTCTTAGACCATAGCTTCACATGGGGAATTTTACCAATTATTCAAAGAACTAACACCTATCCTTTCTCAAACTATTCCAAAAACTTCAAGAGAAGGGAAGACTCCCAGTGTGGAGGTTAAATGAAAATGCCTTATGACCCAGCAATTCCTCTTCTAGGTTTATTTCCAAAAAAATCCAAAACACTAATTCAAAAGAATATATGCACCCCTATGTTCATTGTAGTGTTATTTACAATAGCCACGATATGAAAGCAACCCAAGTGCCCATCAGTAAATGCGTGGGTAAAAAGGGGAGGTACATATCTACAATGGAATATTATTCAGCCATAAAAAAGAATAAAATTTTCAGGTCAGTCAGAGAAACACAAATATCATATGATTTCACTTATAAGTGAACAAAATAAATGGACAAACTAAATTGAAACAGACTCATATATACAGACAACAGACAGATAGATGGTTGCCAGAAGAGAGGGAGCCGGGGGACTGAGTGAAAAAGGAATAGAGACAAAACAGTCAAGGGGATGTAAAGTACAGCATAAAGAATATAGTCAATAATATTTTAATAACTATGTATGGTGCCAGGTGGGTACTGGAAATATCAGAGGGACATTCTGTAAAGTATATGATTATCTAACCACTAGGCTGTACACCTGAAACAAATACAAAATAATATTGAATGTAAACTGTAATTTAAAAATAAAATTTTAAAAAGCACCAAAATAGAATCTTAAGGAAAAGAGTACAGAGAACAATGATGTTCATTCAAGTGCTAAAATAATTTTTATCCATTAATCTTTAACATAGTATAAACATTAATCAATTGTGCAAGTACAGTACGTGCAATTCTGATTTTTTAAATTTGTGTTGATGATTATAGCAAATAAGCAATAATATTCAATAGAACATATATAAACAGATACATGCTGAAATTAAACATAGTTTACAAAGTAAAAAAAAGGAGAAGCAATCCCACTAAATCTGGGGGGCAAAATAATGTCTACCATTAGAATTATTACTGAATTAAAACCCACTCAAAGCAGAAAGAGAAAAAAGGAAAGGTATAAAAATTGTAAAGAGAAAGGCAAAACTTTATTTGCAGGAGATATCATCTATCTGGAAAAATACAAAAGAGTTAACTAACAAAATCTCATATTTCATCAAATCTAAAACACTAAGTATAAACATCATTATTTTATGCACAATAGCAAATTTTAAAATATTGCCAATTAATTATGATATCACCAAATTTAAGAATGTATCCCAATTTCAGAAATGTTCAAATGTATACCTTATCATAGCAAATTAAAGATTCCAGCCAAGTACCAGACATAAGAGCAATGTACACATCCAACAGCTCTCCTATAAGGAGCAATAACCAATTTCAAAATTAATAAAAAAGAAGGTCCCATTCACAAGAGCAATAATAACTGGAAATAAACCTAACAAGGAATTTAGGCATGCATATGTATTCCTATTCAGGAATTCTTGTATGCAGAAAATTATAAAATTCAACTAGAGAGATGGAAAAAGAACATGGATAAATTGATGGGCCAACTTCATATAGTAAAGATGCCATTTTTCCCCTAAATAATCTATGAACTCAATGTAATACCAATCCAGATCCTGACAGCATTTTTCATGGGACTTGACAAGCTCATTTTAAATTCCTCTGAAGATAAGCAATCATCATCAGCAAAATTTTGAAAAAGAAGAAAAAGTTGCCTCATGAAATATTAAAATTTTCTGTAGCAGAAAAGACATCATAAGCAAATTGTAAAAGCAAGTGACTAAGAGAAAATATCTGTAATATATGTATACCATAAAAGGATTAAGATCCTGATTATATAAAGAATTTCTATACATCCATAAGCAAAAGACATAGACCCCAGCAGGAATATGGCAAAGGATATGAATAGACAAATCACAGAAGAGGAAATAGACATGAAAAGAAACAATAATCTTCCTCACTAGGAATCAGGGAGATACAATATAAAATACCAATGGTAAGATACCATTTTCCACTGAGAGACTGGGAAAAAATTTAATTTCATTATATAAAGAACTTGGCAAGGACATGGGGAAATATATACTGATGATCACTGCTAGTCAAAACATAATTGTATGCCTATTTTCAAGGACAAGTTGCCAGTATATGTCTAATTGTGCATACCACATAAGTTAGCAATTCCACTTCCTAGAAATTTACTATTATATAAATAGATATACTTATCCTATATAATAAAAGGGTAATACGCAAATCGACAGAACGGCAGAATGACCGGTCGCTATGATGCGCACTGACCACCAGGGGGCAGACGCTTAACGCAGGAGCATGCTCCCACAGGGGTAGTGCTGCTCAACCACAAGCCAGGCTGACGGCTGGCAAGCCAGCGGTGGTGGCGGGAGCCTCTTCCGCCTCTGCATCAGTTGGACATCCCCAAGCGCTCCCGGACTACTAAAGGGCACAGGCCGGGCTAAAGGTCCACCCCCACAACCCCCCACTCCAGTGCACGAATGTCATGTACCAGGCCTCTAGTATGTATATAAAAAGATACGTATATATCCAATGTGCATGTGTATATGAATCCATCTATCTATCTATCTATCTATCTATCTATCTATCTATCTATCTATCTATCTATCATCGTTAAAATGAAAATTTAAAGCAGGGCTCTAACTTCCAGCTCTGTGGAATTTACTTTGGGTAGCCCAAATGCTATATGTAGGAAAAGGGAATTCTACTTTTCCATGGTCCCCTATGGAAGAATATTCCAGTCTCCAGCCTAGTTCAAGTATACCTATTGAGGACTAGGTTTTAAATCCTAACTTTCCCCTCAGTGTAGCAAATGTTACAGTCCAGACAATTCCAAAGAATAAAATACCTTGCAATGAACACTTTAGGACACATACCAGCAAGAACCTTCTTTGCCACTGAAGGTTGTCTTGTTTCCTTTGGAAGTATCTTCTTTGTTACAAAAGGTCTCCTCTCACTCTTTGGCAATGTACTTTGCAATCTCTCTAAGGACCGTGGGCTATCAACAGGAAATTTGCTGCTAATTTCAGTAAAATTTTTCTTCACCTTTTTTGGTGACAGTTTCTTTTCCAAGAGGGATTCCAAAGCCTGCCATGAAACAGTCAATTATTCTCTTTGTTTATCTCCTAGTGATTAAAAATTCTGACTTTTAACCACAAGACTGAAAATGAAGACTCCAGAGAAATGTGTTATTAAATGGCTATTTCTAATGATTAAGAAAATACTGTTCAACTTAATTTTAAAACTTTATTATTTAGGACATCAAGTTAATAAAAGCAATTCTGCATGTTCTTTTACATGTGAAGCTCACTAAAACCATAGCAAAAAAATAGAGAATATGAGTACTTTTTTTTGTTGTTAATCCTCACCTGGTGATATTTTTTCCATTGATTTTTAGAGAGAGTGAAAGGGAGGGAAGAAGAGAGGGAAGAGGAGAGAGTGAGAGTGACACATCGATTGGTTGCCCCCCACACGCAACCCAACCAAGGAGGGGATCGAACCTGCAACCCAGGTATCTGCCTTTAACCAGGAATCAAACCTGTGACCCTTTGGTGTGCAGTTCAACACTCTAACCACTGAGCAACTGGCCAGGGCAATATGAATACTTTTAAAGGCATTCAAGTCCTAAAATTAAGCATCACCATTTTAAATACTAACCATAGTTTTCAGAATATAAACCTACATGCTTTTAAAGCATTTTAATTCTCAATAAAAAACTCATAAACTCAAATAATTAAGTAGGTAAACACTTCATATACATTTTCATAAACTAAAGGAAACTCTATGTGTCCAATAGCTCTGGTCACTCATTACCACAATGGTAGATCTGTGTCCCCCTTTCTAACAGAGGCACCTCCTAAAACAAAGTACTCCCTCACTCATGACCAGGCAGTAAGGGCCTGGTGTCCATCTGGCCAATACAAATTAAAGACAACTGAAGTAGTCAGGGAGGTTTAGTTCAGATGACAGTAAGGCAATGATAAGGTAAGCTGTGGGATGGTACATCAACAAGAATAAACTGCGTGCACTATGGAATACTTTCAAATGTGGGAGAGATAAACATTGTGTTTAAGAAACATTATGTTAAGGCACTCTTGCTCAAAATTTGGGAAAGTGACTAGATAAACTCTTGAGATCTTTTCTAGGGTTATAAAGATCTATTCTCTAAATGAAATAATTGTGACCAATAAATGTTTCTTATGGGTAAGTTTAAAAAACATCACATGATTTGATATACTGTCTGAAGGTCCGCATTGGACAATAACCTTCTTGATAGAGAGTTCTAACTACCCAAACATCACCAATGCGTTCACAAACATGCTGGATAAGGGGCTTGTAAAGGTAGAGGAGCCTTAAAGACTGCCACGCTAGTTAATGGTGACACTGGTCTGCCATTAGCCCACGAGGCTCCCCTCTACAGCACCTTTCCTCTACAGCCCACAGCTCACTGTGTCACACTGACAGACAGGTCGTCCTTTGATTTGTAGATGAAAATATGTGGTGTAGTGGAAATAACAGTGGCATGAAATCAGAAGATAGGAATTTGATTCCCAGCTCTCAAGGGAAGTAATTGTGTCATCTATCTAACCTTAGCTTTTATAAAAATTTTATCTGTAAAATAAGACATACTGCAAATCACAGCACTGCAGTAAAGATAAAATGGCAAAATTACGTGGTAGCACTCTGTGAACTTTGGAGAGCTATCAAGATTTAAGGCCATGTTGTCCTTGTCGTCTCTGTGACTGGTAAGAAGAAAGAACACTATTCATTCCTTACTAGTACATGCCAACTGTGATTTCCCGAAGTTTCTAGCCATATCACAAGACTTGAGGCTCTGCTTCCATGTATCTTAAAACGTCTTTTCCCACAAATCTCTCTAGATTACATGCTAATATTCTAATTAAAGCACCAATTTAAGATTGCTTTACTGTTTTCCTTTTCTATGCTAATAAGTTCTCTATTAAATGGCAGAGCCAGGAAATGGAAAATTCTTTTTAATTAATGGACCTGGTTAAGGGTTTTTATATGTTCTAGATTCAAATCACCAATTCTCAAAGAAGTGAAATACAATATAATAGACTAGACCAGCAGTCGCCAACCAGTGGTCTGCCAACCACTGGTGGTCCGTGAGGTCTGAAAGGTTGGCGACTGCTGGACTAGACTATAAAAACAATAAAATAAAAATGAAGCCCAGCCTAGCTGGTTTTTCTCAGTGGATAGAGTGCCAGCCTGCGGACTGACAGGTCCTGAGTTCGATTCTGGTCAAGGGCACATGCCTAGGTTGCAGGCTCAATCCCCAGTAGAAATGTGCAGGAGGCAGCCTATCAATGATTCTCTCTTATCATTGATGTTTCTCTCTCTCTCTCCCCCTCCCTTCCTCTGTGAAATCAGTAACAATATATTTAAAAAAGAAAAGAAAAAGTTCCTAATTCTAGTTTAAAAAAAAAAAAATGAAGTCCTTTTACTGCCCTCAGTAAAACTTTAATTTACTAGTTGTAGCAGCTTTGTCTGGTATTCTGCATAAACCTCAATGAAACTTGGAGATGATAAACATTATTTCCCTGCTTAGAAAAAAACATACTTTTGCGTCATCTCATACACCAAAAGGTTGTGGGTTGGGTTCAATTCCCGGTCAGAGCACATATGGGAGGTAACCTATGGCTGTTCCTTTCTCACACAGATGTTTCTCTTTCTCTGTCTCTCTCTTTTCTCCTTTCCCCCCTCCTCTCTATAAAAACATATCCTTGGCTTAAGCATAAGTGATGGATGTGGACAACAGGGGGTGAGGGTGAGGGCAGGATTGGGGGGACATTGGGGGGATAAGGACACATTTGTAATATTTTAATCAATAAAGGGAAAAAAAAGAAAAAAAACACACACCACATATCCTTGGGTGAAGATTAAAAAACAAACAAACCAAGAAACAATGCATTTTTAACAACAATAAGTCAATTTCATACCTCAATTTGTTGCAGGATATCTATCACCACATCAGAAACGGAAGAATCAGCATCCACCTTGGCAGAACAGAGCGAAAGCTGGCGGATGAGGCTGCCCAGTTCCCTATACTGAGCAGGAATTGGGTGCTCCCCTCGGTCAGTGAACTGCGTGACAAACATCTGTAAGGCCTGAACGGCTCCTCGATAGGCGGATGCCAGCCTGGACATTGCCCATGACTGGCAATAAGTGAAATATGAGAAGTTATTTCCATATTCAGAACTTCCTGACATTAACCCCACCCTTAAGAATATTTACAGTCTACCTTCTTTCTATATTGAACTATTTCTAAGGTGAAAACTTTTTCATAAAGGGAATTGTAACGTTTACAGATTTCTAATGACAAAGTCTTTTTCTCCCTATTCTTCATTTCTTACAGCAGCAGTAACAACAGCAATCTATTTTCAAAAACGGTTCCTTGGAAGACAACCACAAATTCAGAATATTTAAGGTGCTAATGCCCTCACGAACAGGTTTCTACAAGCACTGAAAATGGTATTATGCAGAGAACACACATGATACTAACAAAACACTGGAAATCCAATTTAGAAATAATAAGTATTAATCATAATTAAGTTGCATCATACCTTCTTAGTGTGTTTAATATTATGTGGACTCAATTTATCCAATTCTTCCTGGATTTCTCTAACCTGTTTTGTAAAGGGGGGAAAAAATGAAAACTTGGTACCTTTCCACTGATCTTTTTTTTATAGAAAAGGAAACAGCTTGTTTTGTCCAAACATAACCATTATTATTTCAAGTCACTTGAAAATGAGACAAGGCTCTTCATTCATGTACCCCCAAAATAGATCATTGGTTTTCCACCCCTGGGTCCCCAGTGTAAAAGGAACTAAACAGGAAGGAGGGAAGGGGCAGGTGACTCTGAAAGGTAGGAGGCCAGGTCACAGTCTTCAGTGGGTCCTGTTACAGAGCCCTGGGAGTCTTTATAGCAGAGGTCTGACAGGGTAGCATTCATGTTTTAAAACAATCTCTATGGTAGCAATATAGAGTAAGGACCAAAATAGAACCCAAAAGGAATACAGAACAAAATCTAACTCACACATTTTCTTGTAAATAAAAAGGTCCAGGTTTTGGTTCAAGCAATAAGGCCAACATGTGACTTAAGTGACCAGAAATGAGTTAAAGACTTATTAATGAGTAAGGCCTTAAAGTTAAAACACACATTTTAAAAAATCTACCCATAAACAAGAAAAATGCCCATTTATCAGCCATTAAATGTGTCCTGAAAGATATTTAACATGGTCTTCATTCTTTACTACTCAATAAAGATGATCAAAGTATTTACTACTTACTAAGCTTCTAGTCTAGTATATAATAAACATGAGACAGATGGGATTAGGATTCATAACTAGAGACAAAGGGTTTCGGGGTAACTAATCCCCTTGACTTCATCATGTATGTGCTGTACAAGCATTTTTTCTGGGGAAAAGACCCATGGCTTTTAGTAGATTCTCAAGAGTCTATGACACCAAAAAGTCAAAAACCACTACTTAAGGAGTTTGGCTATTTACACATAATACACAAATGCACATAAAGGCAGGTGGCAAAGAGAAGACGGGTTATTTGTCCCTGTGTTCGGGAAATTTAGCCTCACAAACGCGTTAGAATTCATGGAGGATACTGAGGCGCTAATATTCCTGAGACGAAAGGGAAACAAACTCTCACAGCCGTGGGCAAACTACGGCCCACGGGCCGAATTCGGCCCGTTTGAAATGAATAAAACTAAAAAAAAAAAGACCGTACCCTTTTATGTAATGATGTTTACTTTGAATTTATATTAGTTCACACAAACACTCCATCCATGCTTTTGTTCCGGCCCTCCGGTCCAGTTTAAGAACCCATTGTGGCCCTCGAGTCAAAAAGTTTGCCCACCCCTGGGCTAGAAGGTAACACAGGCTGAAGGTCCCACTGCTCCCTGCCCTCACCTGCTGCTGGAGGACGTAGAGCGTCCGGGCGGAGCGCACAGCCTGCTCCTGCCTCCTGACCCGGACGCGCCGTTCTTCATCTGGATCCAAGGCTTCTTCCATTTTATCTGAAAATGTCCCACCCCCCCAAAGTGGATTACAAACCAAACATAAAAACTTTAAAAATTTCAATTACTCAGAGATAATAAAGTTGAAGATCTCTATTTTAAGAAGAAAAATGAAGCTGTAGTAACAGCAAATGTCATTTTCCATCAGCCAAGAAGTCAGGAATAAGGGGGCCTATGTACCGACAGAGATGGAAGGGCCATGATGACATTACCAAGGTCAAGCTCCCCTCCAAGCAGGTGGTATACGTCCACACCAAGCTCCACTGGACAGCCTACTCCACTGTGAGGTACCTTTTACTATTTTAAAATTCTTTATATTGAGCCAAAATCTATAATGCTTTCTACTTTTTTAAAAACCCTTGACTGGCCCATTTTTATGTTTTGCAAGATTTCTTTCTTTCTCCAACATATGAAGATTACATGACTGTCCGAAGCCTTCCATATTTGTTAGGAAGCACAGCCTCGCATACACTGTGTTCCACACTTTCAAAAGGTTAGTTCTCTTTGTAATACTTTAAGCAATAAAAAAATAAAATAAATAAATAAAAATAAAAAAACAAAAAAAAAACAAAAGGTTAGTTCAAAGAAAGTGTTTCTGGAAGACTGACTAAGGGATGTGCAACTCACCCATTCCTTTCCAGTCAGTGGTTTTCAAATATGTCTACAACACAAATTCTTATGCAAAACCATCAAACCATCAGAGAGAAGCAGTGCTTCTTAAGTGCATTTTATCAATTCAAATTTTTCATATTTACTCATTAAAAAACAAACAAACTAGTGAAAGTACTTTTGAAGAACTTGAAAATTTGAAATCAAGGAGTTGTAGACACAGATACAGTCTCTGTGCTTACAAGCCAAACTTTTTCTCTCTGTTGGGCTGCACAGTGTGGAGAAACTGGGTTCATATACTAGAGGCCCAGTGCATGGATTCGTGCACACTGAAAGGAAATTAGAAGGTGGCCAGTGGGGCGGGACTAGGTGAGACGGGCCGGACACATCCTGGAGCCACCTCCCACGGTCCCTCCCCGGCCAGCCGCATCTCAGGCGGCGTCTGTGGAGTGAGTGGGGTTCCTCCGGCAGGTGGGGTCCCTCGGCCTGGCCTGCAGGATTGAGCTGAAACCGGCAGTCCGATATCTCCCTAGGGGTCCCGGAGTGCGACTGGGCACTCTGCAAAGTTGCTGTCGCTCGGCAGCTCCTGCATTGAGCGCCTGCCCCCTGGTGGTCAGTGCGTATCATAGCTACTGGCCAGTTGGCCCATCAGTTAGGCTTTTATATATACAGATATCAATGGTAACTGGCTCAGGCACAGTTTTTAACTGTTCCTCTTACAGATGATTCTCTTTTTTTCTTTTTTATTAAATTTATTTGGGTGATATCTATATATATAAAACCCTAATATGCAAATAGACCGAATGGCAGAACAACTGAACAACCAAACCAGTGGCTATGATGTGCGCTGACCACCTGGGGGCATGCATGGAACATGGCAGGCATTGGCCGTGGCGGGATGGTGGTGCTGGTGAGCGGGGGCGCCAGACCAAGGCGGGGTACCAGTCACTGTCATTGGGGTGAGCCTCTGGTGGTTACTGAAAATTCTTTGCTCCCGTGTACCGCGGTCCTGCTGGGAGCACGCACAGGTTCTGACAACAGGTACCCTAACCCCTAGGCTGGGCCCTTGGTCAGTCGATGACCAAGTGCAGCTTCAGGAAAGGAGCTGTGTCACCTGCCTCTGCTGGAGGGAGGGGCGAGGACAGGAAAAACTCTTCAGAAAAAAGACACTGGTCAAACTCAAAGACCACCTGTCTGGCCATGAGTGCTTGTTCCAGTGACAGGAGGAGGGAGTGGAGTTTGATGGGGGTGGGGGTCCCAAAAGAATGAACGTGTATGAACTATTCCACCCTCACCAATTTTCCTCACCTTTTGTTACTTCTTCGATTTTATGGATACAATTGCTCAGTATTTTCTGGAGTCGCTGAACTTCTAGCAGTCTTCTGTGTTCACATAGGCTTTTGTGGTCACCTGTCCTGCCATGAGGCCGCAGTCCTGGGTCATGGGTGGGTGGCGAATTTGGCATGGTCAAACCTGACTGTCCTGCATGAGATGTGTATACGTATACCTTGGCACCTGAGCTGGAAATTTCTACTTTGGATGGCTGGTGGCTGCAATGAAAAGCTTCTTGATTCTTCATTTCCTTCCTTTCCACCCCAAGGTCAGATTTTTTATGCTTGGTGCATCCACATTTCGGAGAGATTTGGGATTGACTTGTGAGATGATGCTTTTTTACATGTTCTTCAAAGTGTCTTCGTTTCATATCTCTTTTGGCAAGGTGGACAGCGTAGCTAAGTCTCTCTTCTGATACAACAGAAAATGAAACAGAACTGCTCAGATCAGGACCATCTCCAAAATCCAAATCTTTATAGTGGTCCGACTCAGTGTGCGAGTGCTTCAGTTTTTCTATTTTAATTGCATGTGGGTAAGAATACCGGATTGCCAAGTTGCTTGAATGTGTAGGAACATTCTTATTAAACTGCAGCTGGTTCTTTAAAAAAAATAAAAGTAAGCAATCATTAGAAAAATAATATGTTGTATAGTTGGTATATTCCACACCAAGTTTCTAAAATTTTACACATTTATTAGTGCTAGGAGGTATTTTTATTTTGTAATAATAGAATCATCCGCTCTCTTACACCCTGAATCCGTCACATACCACCAGTTGCAGACTGGATAAACAAACTGGCACACTCCTGCTCTGGAATACTCAGTATTTATTTTTTAAATATATTTTATTGATTTTTTACAGAGAGGAAGGGAGAGGAATAGAGTTAGAAACATCAATGAGTGAGAAACATCGATCAGCTGCCTCCTGCACATCCCCTACTGGGGATGTGCCCGCAACCAAGGTACATGCCCTTGACCGGAATCGAACCTGGGACCCTTCAGTCCGCAGGCCGACGCTCTACCCACTGAGCCAAACCGGTTAGGGCATGGAATACTCAGTATTAAAAAGGAACAAACTGACACATGCAACACATAGATGAATCTTCAATACACTGCACCCAGTGAAAAAAATTCTTCCACAAAAGAGTGCATAGCATAGGATTCCCTTTATATGAAGTTCTAAAACTGACCAAACAAACTGTGGTGGAAAAAAATCTGCATAGTGGTTGCCTCTGGAGGGAAGGGCGGGACTGACCAGGAAGGGGCATAAGAGAACCCTCTGGGTAGTGGACATGATCCGTATCTTGAAAGAGGCATGGGTCACACTGGTGTACACATCTGTCAAACTCAGCAAATGTGAATGAATATATTCATTTCAGATGTAAAATTTACATGAAAAGAAAAAATGGTGAAGAATGAATTCTAGTACTAAGTATGATATGCATGCTGAATTACTTAGGGTACCGGTGTCTGAAATTTACTTTGACGTGTCAAACAATAAGTTGGGTTAATGAATGGATCCTAGAGGGATGGACTGAAGGAAAGATATGCAATTGAAAAGTACAGTGAAATAGTAATGGAATCTTGATGTTCACTGTGAAATTCAACTTTGCTGTATATTTGAAGATTTTTATAACACAATGTTGGAAGTAAAAACATTTTGGGTACAACTGGTTGAAGTTCAATAAAGACTGGTTATTAGGTAATTTTAGGAAATTTTTTTTGTCAATTTCTTAGGTTTGATAATGGTATCATGGTTAAGTAGAAGAGTTTATTTTTAGGATCAGTATTCTAAAATATTTAGAAGCAAAATGTCTTATCTGCAACTTACTCTAAAGTGGTTCTGCAACCATTTTAGAGATGGTGAGACAGAAAAACAGGTAGGGCAAATTGTTACAACTGTTGACGCTAGAAGGATTAAAAAGGTGTTCTTGCCCTTTTCTTTCAGCTTTTCTGCTTGAAATGTTTCATAATAAAAATATGAAGGGGGAAGAAAACCACAACTACCTGGGTCTGAAGTCTCCAGGGGTCACTCCTCCCATCTAGTTGGACACTAGACGGGTGATTAACACAAGTTGAAGCTGGTCTGCCTGGTCCCATCATGTCAGATAGTGCAGAACAATTGTGAAAGCCTAGTTATCAGCCAACAGTTCTTCCCCAAACCATTGCCTAAAATAAAAGAAAGCTACTTTCAGACCAAGAGTCTTCAAAGGGAAAGAATAAGTGAAACACAACATCATGCTCTTATAACAATGTTCTAGTAGCCCCATAGCAACCTCATACTAGAGAGCCAATGACATATGAGGATAGGTATATGATAGCTTCTTCCATTTACAAAAGCATTGAAATTAGACTTCCCCAGAGAATAGGGAGACACTACTTTAATGACAATCTATTGAGCCCTTTTCATTCCAAATTTCAAATCTCAAGGGTCTCTAGTAAGATATTACTACAAACAGAGCTCCGCTATGGTCAACAAGCACTTCCCAGCAGGGCATTTTATGCACACATGTTCTACATTAATAAATCCCAACCACTAGTCAGAGAGTAGTCCCGCTTGCTCTATGAGGTGGCTCAAAAGGACACAACTGAACGACTCTAAGTAAACCTCAGGGTCAGAATATCTAGATTTATGCCAGGATCTGCCATTAACCACTGAATGACCTCTCCACACCTCCCATTTCCCCATCTCCCCCCTCTATGCACACACAGCGGAGATAAAAGATACGAAAGTGTTAAGCTGTTACGGGCTCTACTCATTATCACTGCCTCTGCCTATTCTGAAGGCCTCCTTATAGACACGGCATTATCCCTGCACGCGTCACGTGCTTGTTACACACTTGTCTCACGTTGTTATTTACCTATTTCACAGGTATATGTCTCATCTTCCCAGCTAGACAAGGTTCCTTGAGGGGAAGGGCCTTGTCTTGCTCTTCTCTGATATTTCCCACAATACAGTGCTTTGAGCATAGTAGACAATTTAACTCATTTGTTGAATTAAGCTGATTTTCTATGAACTGACTCGTGTTACATGGAGAATTTGTTCTCTCAAAGAATCCCATGGTAAATCAACTGGGAAATGCAGGTTTTAAAAAAAAATCCCTAATTTAAGCTTCTGAATAAACCCAACATCTGTAGACTGGATTTGCTTAAAGACAGATACATCTGAAGGAACATAAAGGCAGCTGTCCAAGATTCCTTATTTCTAAGGCTGTAGAGACAAGATAAAAAACGAAGATGGGAGGAGGTACATGGGCCTGGCAATCCCAACTGGCTTGGTATCACCAGTTGAGGGGCTGGGGCCGCACAATGAAGGAGTCTGCAGAACTGGGGGGCAGGGTGACTGCAACTTTTATGTGGTCAACACCTTCCCCCGGGCTGCATGAGGCCTAATGATCCTTTCTCTACAGGAAAAAACTAGGTGATGTCCAGTTCCCCGATACCCCGAGTGATGCCAAACACACACACACACACACACACCCCCAAACTGTTCCCCTGTACAAAGTCCTGGGACACCTTTCTCCTTGCAATCTGTCCCTTTCCAATTGCTCCAGGAAACCTCCCAATTCGTTACCCCACATACCGTGGGACTTCTCCACACAATATCCCCCCTCCCCCATCCTGAGACACCTCTACATCCTGTGCCTTCATCCACAACCCAGGACAAATCTCCCCAACAGTGTTCCCTCCCAGAGTCCCAGGACCCCTCAACTTGTGCCCTACTCTTACTACAGGATTGCCCCCCTCCATCTGTCCTCCCCCACACAATTTTCTCCCAAATTGTCCCCCCTCACTCTCATTCCAGACACTCCTCCAGCCCATCTGCTCCCTCTCCGCTGTGGGTGATCTCTGAAACTGCCAATGCCCATTTCCTCCCTTGAAACTGAGGACACTGCCACAGCTTCATTCACGCCCCCCGTCGCTCCTGTCCCTGACACTCCTGGCACATTCTCCCAGTCGGTTCCTTCCCCCACAGACCCTGGGCAGCTCCAGGACCTGGTCCCGCGCCCATGGGTGTAAGACACCCCCGCTGCCTGGCTCCTCCCTGCCAGCCCCAGGATACTCCCACCTCCCGTCTCCGCCCCAGAAGCCCCCGGCCCCCTTGCAGACTGTCTCGTCACCACGGTGAGGCCTGAGCCAGCAGCAGTGGTTTCTTCTCCTGTAGACCCAGACACCCACACCGCAGCAGGCACGTGCCCCGCCATAGGAACTCCTACACCTGCAAGCACCCCCAAAGACAGAGGTACCCTCACAGCCTCGGGGACTACTGTAGTGGGTCCCCGCCACAGGCCTGGCACACCTTCAGAGCCCGTCTCCCTGCCCACAGGTCCCGAAGCCCGGGCAGCAGTGGGCCCCTCCGTCGCCAGTCTCCTTCCCCACGCACCAGCGACATCCCCAGGGCTAGTGTCACCCACCACCAGCCCAGGAGTGCCAGCAGCTGTGGGCATTCCCACAGCCATGGCGACTCTGGCAGCCACGGGCATCTCCGCCGTCTGTCTTCTTCCCGATGAGCCCAAGAGATCCCCAGAGAGTGTCTCCTCCTCTACAGGCCCAGGCAACCCCACAGGCACAGGTACCCCCGCAGTCTGTCTCCTCCCTGGCAAGTGTGAGAAGCCCCCAGAGCCGGTCTCCACCCCCAGAGGACAAGGCACCCGGGGAGCAGCGGGCACCTCCACGGCCACAGGAACCCTGGCACTCTGCCTCCTTCCCCAAGATCTGGGGACACCCCCAGAGCCAGTCTCTTCCCCAACAAGCCCAGGTACCTCGGGAGCTACAGCAACCTTGTCAGTCACCGGAAACCCGGGCACCGGCCTCCTTTCCCATAACCTTGGGAAAGCCGCAGACCCCGCATTCTCTCTCACAGCCACCAGCTCCTCAGAAGCCACAGGGACCCCAGCAGCCAGGGGCGTTCCAGTAATGGGAACGCTTTCCCACGGGTTCAAGACCCCTCTAGAGCTGACTTCCGGACACGCAGGGCCCGACACCCACACAGCGGCAGGCACCCTCCCAGAGCCAGGCGCACCCACAGCTGCGGGGACCCCCGCGGGGGCACACCTGTGCTTGGCCATGCCTGATGCCTCGGGCATCCCCACCGCCTCAGACACGCCCACGGCCTGTCTCCTCCTGCACAGACAGGCAACATCCCTGTAGCCAGCCTCCTGGTCCATGGACCCAGGGACCCCTAACGCTGTCGGCACCCGAGCCTCGTGCTCCCCCACCGCCTGCCTCCTCTCCCACAGACTCGGGACATCCTCACAGCACGTCTCCTCCCCAACCACCCCTGGCACTGCCTCAGCCAGAGGCACCCCCAGAGCCTGCTGCCTGGCCCACAGGCCTGGGATGCCACCGTAACGTGTCTGCTCTCCTATGGCTCCTGGCACCACCCCAGCCTGGGACACACCCACAGGCTGGGCTGGTCCCCACAGACCCGGCACACTCCCACTGCCTGCCTCCTGCCCCAAAGCCCGAGGTGCGCCCATGGCCTGTCCTACACGCCAGAGGCCGGGTGCACCCCCGGGGCCTGCCTCCTGCTCCTCGGGACCAGACACCTCCGCGGTCTGGGCTACTTCCCATGGCCCTGGGTCACCTGCAGAGCCCGTCTCTGCCCACACAGCCTGTCCCCTCTCCCTGAACCCTGGGTCGCCGCCCCATCTAGCTTCCTCTTCCACAGCACAAGGAACCCCTACAGGCTGCCTGGAGACCCACAGGTCAGGGACACCCCCAGGGCCTACCTCCTCCAGGGCTCCTCCCCTCTGCCACATGCCTGGGGCACCCACCGAGGGCGTTTCCTCTGCAGCTCTGGGTACCTCCACAGCCTGGCCCCTCCCCCACAAGGTGTCCCCATAGACTGCCTCCTGCACCAGAGCTGGAGCACCCCCACAGCATACCTCTCCCTCCACAGCTCTGGGTACCTCCACAGCCTCAGGCCACCCCGCGGCCCCAGGCACCCCCATAACCGGTCCTCTTCCCCACGGGCCTGGGGCAACCTCGTAGCCTATCTCCTCCACAGTCCCAGGCACCCCCGGAGCTGGTCCTCTCCCCAGCAGGGGTGGGGCAATCCCAGAACTTGTGGCCACAGCCCCAGGCACACCCTCAGGAGGCAAGCTCACCGCCTGGCCCCGGCCCCGCCAGCCCGAGGGCCGCTCACATCCCGCCCCTGGGCCAGCAGCTGCAGATGCTCCTGCGGCCTGGGGCGCGGCCCTAACCTGCCCTTCCACCCACGGCCCCGTGAGACCTCGGCGGCTGGTCTCTACCCACGAAGCTCGGCCAGGCACACCCCTTTCCACCGGCCCTTCTCCTGCAGGTACGGGGTGGAGCTCGACTCGGCTCCCTTCCCCACCCCCTGAGGCTGCCCTCATGGCCTGCACCTTCAGCCACAGCTCCAGGATGCTCTCGTGCCCCATGGACCCCGGGCGGCCTTTCCGCTCCCCACCCCGCGGGCTCCT